TGGGGCTTTTGGGATTCCGCGTTCCAGTGCGAGATGGAAAGCGGGCGCAAGCGTACACTGCGTATAATTACCCAGGCGCGGATTTTGGAAAGTCGAGGGCATCGACAGATGTTGCATGGCTCCCCAGCAAGACGAACGGGAAATCTTAGACTAAACATGCTATTCGATATTGTCTCTTTATGGAATAACGTGATGCAGAGGCCTAGGTAGAGAGAAATATAGTTCCTGATTTATTCTAGAAAGCATGAGCTTTTTGAGCATTGTAAAGAATCAAGCATTCCAAAGATCTTGAAAAAAAAATTATTTTCTTGAGTTCATTATCAACCTCACATCGAAATGCGCACTGAAGAGTAGAAATATGTGATCTCCAGAAATCTTTTATCTCTCATATATCCGATCTACACTACATCATGCCAACAAAGGCCCCAAGCAGCATTGTCTCAGCCAGGCGACATCTTCATTTGCGCCTGCCCTGATATATTCTAGGCTTGTTCTCTTCCAAGATTCCACATCCTCCTCGGTGCAATCCCAAACTCGAGGGTTGATGGGAATAAGCCACAGCATATAAATGCCGGCACTCAAAGCAACTCTGGACACGAATGATTCGTCTACGACAGCACTACCAACACGTTGCTTATATGCCGACAAAAACGACGAGAGCAGGCCCCTGTTGCCAAACTTTGCCTCCAGTATGACAACTTCAGCAAACCACATGCGAACATCGTTAGAAGGATCACCGTAGTGACATAACTCCCAGTCCACGACCGCAAGATCCAAGGCCATTCCCTTGCCATCGGGAACACGTACCACAATGTTCATAGGCCGAAAGTCCCAAGGCGTCAGCGTGTGGATGGGAGCGGGTGCACGCATTGCTGTTAGCACCTTTTCCGACTCTTCGTCGTTCATGGCGTCTTTGATAGCTCTTTCCGCCAGACCACCAGGTACATAGAACTTGTCCAACTCATTATGATGAGAGCTCCATCCGTCGGGGCCCAGGTTGATACCAGCAACATGCAGGCTACCCAGCCACCGACCCAGTCGCGCACCAATTCCCGGCGCATCCAGAAACTCGTGCGTCTTGTAGGCCGTCCTCAGATCAGTCTCACCGACATTGCTCATGATGAAACCGTTCTTTGTTTCTCGGAGCACTCGCGGGACTTGGACTGATGGCTCCTGATGGCAAGCTTCTTCCACTGCTTTGGATCTCAGAGCTTTGACTTCAAACTGAAGTCGTTCCGGTGAGACTGGGAAGTTCCGGTATTTGGGAGTGCTGTCGGCGCACTTCATTATGACTGGCTGGCCTGTCTGATGACCATTGGCTGAGGCCTCCGCATCGACCAGTCCTTCGAGTCGCCAGATGTAGCATGATATACCAGTGTTGAGAGGTATTGCTGTATCATATGAGACCCCGTTTTGAGTAAGATATTCGTCCACTCCAGCCTTCCAGTCTCGGGGATGAGGGGGTGCTTGCGGCGTAGAAGACATTATGGAAGCGTCGTCAGGGTTGGCGTGTCGTTGATAGACTCGATACAAACTTGGATTGAGTGTTGCTTCTCGTAATCGGTACCTATTGCATCTTTGTCTACTCTTTTTTCCGGGGAACACAGTGTGCAAAGTTGCCTCAACTGAATTCTTGGGGCTAGGGTTTAGAGCTCAGCACATTTCAGTTTCCCCCATGCGGTGACACTATCCCCAAGTAAGACATCAGCCTCCGCTCATGGTAGGATTCGATCTGAGGAGTTGAAATAGGCCTGCTTAAGTTTGATATCTGTAACAAATCGTAAAGTCTGTCGATTCTCTTGGAGACAAATTCGCCTACTGATCAGCAGCGTCTTGGCTTCACATGTAGGTGTGCTCTGTACCCGTAGGTTTATGCCAACGTGAAGGTTAATAGATTAGTAGAACCACCGACAATTCGGCCGCAGGATCGACCTGGGGTTGATCCACTCACCAAGGTCCAGTTTTGCTGCCCATGACAGTTTGCATCATCTAGTACGGAGGACTGGGGTGCCAATACGAACACTAGCATCGGCAACGCTCGTTGGAAGTCTCTAGTCACGTCCCGAGTATCTCGGGCTCCAGCCCTTGACCTACCTAAACTCAAATATATCATAAATCGTACTGAGACGCTTCACCGCGTCATCAAGAGCACGCGTAGACCCGCTTTCTTTGCAGCAAGGGGTCCCCTAAAGGTGACATTCACCCTGGTCACAGCCCAGCCTGAATATGCGAAAGTATTCCCTTGCTATGCTTTCTGAAGGGCGACTGTCAGATATGTGGCTACAGTGTATTTGGCCGAGTTCTACGTGTCTGTAAGTATGACCGGCCCTTTTACAACAGCTGGTCCACTGCCTCTGGCCCCACTATCAAAACTCACCTCCTTCAATGAAGTCGGGAGACATATCCGAGATCCAGAGCTGAGAGATAATATCCCCGTAGCGTGCGTCCTCGAAGCTTCGGAGAGGATCCCACGAAGAGTGCGGTGAACCGAACGGAACAAACCCAATTCTATGGGGCCAATACCGCCTAGCTAAGAGCCTCGGATGAACGATTCCGTTCTGTGTTCTGGTCTTTGAATCAGTTCTCATCATCTGACATCTTTGATGCCGAAATTCACAAAGTTCCACTGCCTGAGCAGTGAGAATTAGACGAACGCCCCTGCCACATGATATTTGTCTCGGAATGGCCGGGACCAAACCTCAGTGGCTCTTACCTGATGTGAGTGTATTTCAAATGCACAGTAGGTTTGAATTGAAAGAGCACCTTGTTTGAAAGGTATCAATTCGTTCTCGTATCGATCCAGTTCGCCTTGACGCTTTTTGTTTGTCAGACACAGTCGAAACACCTGCCAATTGCCACATTCACCAAGATGAGTTCCAATACCAATACTCCAGGAATGGAGCTATTCGTCCGCAGGATTGACGAGAATGCCAAATGGCAACCTCATCATGCACTTGTGCGATTCGCTGGCGGGCCTGACTGGGAGACAGAGGGTTATCGTTCGTTGACTTGGCAACAATACGCCGATGGCATCAACAAGACTGCACACTGGCTTGACAAGACCTTTGGAAAGTCTGTGAACAACGATACTGTTGCGTATTCTGGTCCCAGTGACGTCCGATATGCGTTCCTGTTCGCAGCATCAGTCAAGACAGGTCGCAAGGTATACAATGACCATCCTAAGTCAAATCACATTTATGCTCACATTGATTAGCTGCTTGTTCCAGATGGTCGTTTCATGAAGGATGGACTTGATGCGCTGCTAGAGTCATCAAACTGCAAGATTTGGCTGTATTCCGAGGGAGGTGCATTCAGCCCCGAGCCTGAGCTTGCAGCATCTGGTATCCATGTTGAGCAGTTCCAAAGCCTCGAATGGTGTCTTTCTGCTCAAGGAACCGAGCCCTACGCCTATGAGAAGACTTACGAGCAGGCGAAGGACGATGAGATTCTCATCATCCATACTGGAGGCACCACAGGTATGGAAACGCAGGGAGTTTACACGGTTGGTATTAACGGACACTAACCAGTGAACACAACAGGTGCGCCTAAGCCAATTTTCATGAACAATGGCTTCTGGGCGGCTGGATGTTCATCTGCCGGCTTGGCTCGCCGTCACTGGCCCAGGGGGATATCTACAGATTCTTTCTATGGCCGTTCCCTGATCTTGGCAATCCCAATGAGGCTGCAGCCTGGCCTTGTCCTAATCAACATGTTTGCCGTTTTCTCTGGCACCTGTGTTATCCAACCCCCTCCGGATGTGGTCGGGCTTCCGCCAGCTATTTTCCAGAAGCTTCTGCGTCTCAACAAGGTTGATGGCCTGATGGGATTTCCTTTCACCATCGTTGACCTATACAATAACGAAGAGGCCCGGGAATCACTGAAGTCGCTTGAGTTCATCACTTATCTGGGGTCTGCTCTCGATCGCGTTGTCGGAGACGCGCTGTGCGAACACACCAGGCTCAATTCTGTCATGGGAGCCACAGAGTCTGGTGGTCGCTTTTCCCTGCATCCCATCGACAGGAAGCTGTGGTATAGCTTCCAGTTCATCCCTGAGCACCATGTTCGTTTGGTCAAGCTAGAGGGCTCTGGTGAAGCTCTGGGCGACGGAGATGACTCTGATGTGTACCAGATGTTCATTGACAGGCCACCTGACGGTGGACCATCTATCTATCAGTGTGCCTTCTGGAACTACAAGATGTTCAAGGACGTTGAGACGATCGATACGAAGGAGTTGTGGCGTCCGGTCAAAGACAGCGACGGCAGTACCCGATGGGAATCGGTGGCCAGAACTGATGATTGGACGAAGCTGATTTGGATGGCCAAGTTCCACGCTCAGGACATCGAGACCAAAGTCGCCAGGTACCCTGGAGTCAAGCACGTCATGGTTGGCGGTGCAGGGCGCATTGCACCATACGTCTTGATAGAAGTGAAGGAGGATCTGCTTGAGAGAAACCACGAAGAGCTTCTTGATGATATTTATGAGAAGACTATTGTGGGACACAATGAAATTTCTGCGAAAGCAGTGGCCATTCCGAGACAGACTGTATTCTTGGCCAGCAAGGAAAAACCTATCAAGCTGACTGTCAAGCAATTGGTGCTTCGGAGGGAGGTCGAGAAGGATTACAAGGAAGAGATTGAGGACGTATACAAGACGCTTGAGGCTGCAAGCAATCAGACGGCAGGGGAGAAGTTCGTGCAAAACATGAATTAATAATCAGAACCTCATTAGTTATGCAGTGTGTGACAGATTGTTCTTAATTACAGATGGGTAGTCAAAAGAAGTTTCTAAGCTTCCGTGTCAAGAACATGCTGACCCAACTATTCGATTGGCCTAGCACAACATCTTTGTCTTCTTTGTCCATCTGCTTATTCTTTTTTGGGAATCAAAGAACAGAATATCCATGGTCCTTATCAATGGTCGAGTACAAGTATAGGCAAAAAAAAATTAACTTTTGTAGTGTGATTGAGTCTTTCGAGTCCACTACTAGTCTTAGTTCGCCTTAGTTCTCTCCCAGAAGCTTGATTTCATGGCCATTTCCTTCTCTCACAAACCGGGTGACAATGATAGCTATAAGCGACACAGCGCTACTAAACCAGAATATGACCCCAGTCAAGTTGTGTGTCGACCCAAAAGCGTACATATTTCCAGCCATGGCTGAACTGGCAGCTCGAACCGCCATCGACGTGAAGAACGTGATACTATGAGTCCTTCCCAGTGCCGATGGATGAGGCGAGGAGAAATTCGCCAGTAGCAGCTGCGAGGGCGTCACAACACTCGTAATGAGAGATGTTGAGGTTTGAATTACCACCAAAAACGCCCATACAGCCACACCAGTCTTTTCGGATGGAGGCGGTGTAGAAGATGGAATGACAGCAACATATGGGTATGCAAAGTAAAGCAAGGGGAATCCGAGATAGAATAGTTGCCAGAGTCTCAAGCAGCCAAGGCGCTGATTAAGCCAAGGGTAAACAAAAATCTGCATGGGAATACCGACAATCCCTATATTGCGTCATGTTAGCCAATAGCTCTTCATATGGAGGAATGTTCACATTATCAATGAACAAAGTGAGGTATTTAAGATCTTACCAAACACAGTTGAGTACCAGGCAAGAGACTTCGGCCTAAATCCGGCGCCGCCCCCGAAGCGGAATGGCAGAACTCTTGACAGTTCGGCTTCTTTGGTGGAAACCGGATCGACTAGCATATTGGCCATGGCAACGCTGACGCTGTTAAGATGGAGTTCATAAAGAAGAGTTGCCAATAGAACCAGGAGCATGTTAGTGGTGAAAATGCGACGTGTAGGGAGCTTCAAGTTCTTTTCACGTGGTGTAACGGGAACCCCTGGGGGTGTGGAAGCGCCAGAGTGATCATTCCCGTCAGTCTCCTTCAAGAAACCCATCTCTTCTCCATCCTCTTCTTCTGAGTTTATACGTGAGTACTGAGCGTCATCTGCCTTTCTGAATGGAACCAAGCGGAATAATGACAGCAAGTTCTTGGAGAAAGCGATTCCAGGGTCGAATCGACCTCTTAGAGATTTTGATGTCTGCCCTTCGTCAGTCTAAAGCGAAGCAATAAGTCGAAACTGAGCATTTATTGATGACAACATACCTCTTCAAGAAACAGAAATGCAGCAATTAGGAGAAGAAGCAAGAAGCCGGCGTTCAGTAAGGCAGGCAGTGCATATGGGTGTCTCCTCACAAAACTGTCGTCTTGGCCTGTTGTTTCAAGCTGAACAGTCCAACCTGCCACGAGTGGGCTGATAATTATGGCCATTCGAGTAGCAATTGGTAATAGTGCAAAAGCCCTGGCTTGGAAACTATTTTGAGTATGTCGGTCAGTCTTGATTGTTTATAATTCTATATTTCTGATCCTCCATAATGGGAAACAACTTACCGCTTCTCCTGAACAACTTCGGAGACCATCGTTCTCACCATAGCGACATTCCCATTGGTTATCCCCTCAAAAATTCGAAGGAAGACGGCCTGCTTGAAGCTAGTGATGAAACCAAACAGCGCACAACTTATGACTGTGCATGACATTTAGAAAGTCAGTTGACATCAGAAATTAGATGGATCTTTCGCAACCCATATGTGATATCACTACAGTGTTGACTTACATGATCCAGACAAACTCGTTAGCACAACTAGCTTCCTTCCCCCTCTGGGAGAATCCGATACCACGCCCCATAGCAAAGATGAGATAGCTTGCGCAATAGTATAAGCCGTCTGAAGATATGCGGATTGTGTAATCACTTCAGCACTGGATAATGATGGATCAAGTGATTTAAGTTGGTAGTAGATGTACGCTCCGATAGAAACCCTGACGACTGGTTCACTGAATCGTATCATGAAAAGTAGGAATAGCTGGTCTTTTCGTGGTAGAGAAGACCAGCTTACCGATGCGTGACCATCTGACATACTGAGATGTCAAGAGTCTAGCTTTGGCGATATCATCAGCGGTAGCAGTCGTGTGTTGGTTCGGAGTAATGTGCCATGTAAGCGTTGTTCTTGATGGAGGGCAAAGTTGGCGGATACATGCCTTGGAACTCGAGAAGATCGTTGGCACCACTGACCAGCGTTTATTCGATACACAAGTGCCCGCTCCCTTTACCAATCAAGCCATATCGGCAATATTATTCATCATAGAATTCCAATCTTATGTCCAGCCCCATTCATCAGGCACTGTGCTGATCCTGACAAGGGTGGCTCGTCGGCAAGAACGGGCCAAGGAACTCGGTTGATAAACAGAGTTTACAAGGTACCCGCCCGCATGGGTAATATGCGTAATACGTGGACATGAAAGAAGGACTGAGGAAAGTGAGAAGTTACACGCTACACACTCCAGGGGCAACCAGCATGTGCATCCGACTCATGACGCCGTTGCCGCCGGAGTGTTCCGCAGCAAAGTATCTATCCGTAATTGACCAGGGCTAGGAAGCGCATGGCTCTTCCACGCCGGAAAAAGACAGCGGTCTCCGGCGAGGACTCGGCGACACCAGGTCATGCTTACATCTTCTACTATAACAAATCAACCTTGAGCTCTTGCAAGTATCTCCGATCAATGTGGAACAGGAGGCAGCGTCACTCACCTCATCCTGTTCATACAGGAAATGCCTCGTGTCACAGGCGAACCGACCTCAGGGGCTCTCTACTCTCCCGGACCTGCGTCTAGCACAGAGGACCTAGAACTAGCAGAGCTTGGGGAAGAAATTCCCCAGAAGCACACCTTGCTCAAGCTTTCAGGCTTGCTCCTGCTCACGTCTCCTAGTCTAGGCCTTCAAGTGTGTTGGTTTCTTTTGACTTCGAGCGGCACTGTCAGTCTTTTACCCTTCAACCCAACCCCAGCTGAGTGACTGACGAATAGCTCAAAGCCCTACTTGATCTCGCTAGGCATTCCTAAATCCATTATATCCTTGGTATGGGTCACCGGTCCTATATCTGGCGCCTTTGCGCAGCCTATTCTCGGTGTGTTCAGCGACGATTCACAACACGCCTGGGGTAGAAGGAAGCCATTCATCGTAGGAGGTTCGCTATGCGCAACTATCTTTCTGCTAGCATTGGCGTACTCAGAGGAACTCACAGCTTGGGCATGGAGTTCCAGTGTTGATCGTTCCGCCAGCTCGGCGCACCTACCGACGCAGATTCTTGCAGTCTTCTCAGTCGTTGTCACTACTTTTGCACTGCAGGCATACGCAGTCGGCGTCAGGGCTCTGATAGTAGATAACACCCCTCCCAGTCAACAGTCTGTCGCAGCCTCCTGGGCCATGCGATGGAACGTGCTAGGAAACGTGGTGCTCTCTTCTGTTGGCTTTGTGGATGCCCAGTGGTCCTCGACTGATGTAAACAGCGATGACCGTTTCAAGTTACTCGCCGTTGTGGTTGCAGCTTGTACCTTCACGGCAGTCGGTCTCACGTGCTATTTCATTACTGACCAGAACGTCGCACCTTTGCGTGACCGCCAGCCCTCTTTTGCGCAACAGTCATGGTCCATAATCTCACCGACAGGGCTAGCCAAACGGTGGAAACAAATCCCTCCACGCAGCCGCCGGGTTTGCGAGATCCAATTCTGGGCGTGGGCAGGATGGTTTCCTGTTTTATACTACATGTCAACGTAAGCAGCGTCCGACTCCTATAAAAACTTTTGCGCCCAGTGACTAACTCGTGGACTTGATTCAGGTTCGCTTATGAGACAGGTAGAAGACCAGAACTGTTGAAGTACTTCCAATACTAACATCTCCCAGCCCTTTCTGACAAACTCGAGCAAAGGCAAAGGCAGTTTGGGGAACCAGATCTAGAACTCATCGAAAGTGCAAAGGACTTTGGTTTCTTTGCCTCTTTTGCTTTCGCATTAGGAGCATTCGCTGCGAGTATTTCGCTTCAGATACTTGACCGCTACAAGCCGGCCTTCTCTCGCAACCTCCCCAGAGTCTGGTTTGCATCGCAGTGCTTCTTGGGATACTGCATGCATCTCACCTTTGTCGCACGCAGCGGAACCACGGCGGCCATCGTTGTCGCCATGATGGGATCCACGGCTGCCGTAACGATGTGGGCTCCATTTGCCTTGATCAGCGCAGAGATCTCTGAGCTATCCGTTGGAACGCAGGACAGCGAGGTTGCATGGATCCTAGGACTGCACAACATGGCGATATCCCTCCCTCAGATTGGCTCAACTCTAGTTTGCGCAGTCATCTTGGCAGTTCTAAAGGTTCTCGGGGTCGAGGACAGTGTGGCCTGGATCTTTCGGCTATCCAGCATTGCTGTATTTTGGTCAGCGTATCTAATTCATAAGTCACATTGACTGCGGTTCATGGAAGATGTCACAACGATCTCATTATCCAGGGCTGATAACTGTTCAGGCTTGTATCTAGAAGCTAGCTACATTTATTCCTGAGAGTCAATGGAGATGTGGCCATGAACGAAGATCTTCGAACGTCTTTTCGCTCGTGTCTCCAAGTATCAACAACGATGCTATTTACCAGACCCTAGTGTTCCGGCTTCAAGGTACGCAGAAACTTGTCAGTATCGTGGACATCAAAGTCAAGAGTTCGCTTGGTAGCCCAAGCTTGAAGCTTGCTAAAATCGGTGCATTGGCGATGTCCGGTCCTGTTAGCCTCAATGTCCATCATCTCCTTACCCTTGATAGTCCCCCCTTCTTTCCAATGATATGTTCCGATCGATGTGTCTGCGTTGCACATGATACCTTGGATAAGTACGTTGAGACAATGAGCTAGATGACCGGGCTTGGTCGAATGTCCACTGCCATAGTGATCCATGTATTGGGACTTCCAAGCACTCTTCTGTTGGCAAGTCAGTGACGTGACAGCGAAGACGGTGAATTTATTCTCGGGAATGGTAAATCAAAGAAGACGCCACTTACAACACAATGCAACATGTGGAAAGACTCCAAATAACCTATATACCCGCTTCCGTCTTTGAGGGCGAGCGAGGTCTTTTGCATTCTGTTCATCTCATCTTCGGAGAACCTGAGCATGAATGCTTCATGGAAGTTTTAGGATCTGATGTAGCAAATGCTGAGCTGTGGCGTTGAACTCACGTTTCTCAAGTTCTTCCCACGCCTTGTCAGCCTCAGGGCCGGGCGGACCGGTGAGCACGTTGTCGGGCAACATAGGGGCTTCCTCCTTGACTGTATAACGAATAGCCACCTGTGCCGGTGCTACGACATTCGATATCAGTATCATTGCATGACCATGGTACTAGGCGAAGGAAATTTTTCTCACAGTAGGCTCTTTCGAGCACTGCGGCCTCTGGCCCGATGTGCTTCCCAACGTCACTGATGTTGTAGATGAGGAACGCAACGTTGAATCCCAAGAAGATAACATGGCTGACCCAGAGTCTCCTTCGCCAGCGGGACTCAGTCGATCGGTCTTGCCGCAGTCTCGATCTCTCAGCCGGGGCTAAGTCGAAACTGGAATCGCCACTTTCGCTCGGTAAGAAGGGCTTCGCATCTTCAGAAAGAGACGACATGGTGTGAAGATTCCTAAAGTGTGCAAGTCTAGGTGTGGCAGCAAATAGCACGTCTAGGGACTCTCGAGTCTGAGGTTGACTGAGACAGGAGACTCTGAAGGGTGCCTCAAGGACGAAGAGGCCGGCGTCAGTCAAGTCAGGCAAAGGTGGCAGGACGGAGACTGCCCAGGCAGTCGGTCTAGACCGGTTATCGAAGGGGGGTTCACCGTTACCTTCTGGTAATACCAGCATCCACCAAACCCACACCCAGGCTTGGAGATCGGAGCAACGGCACGGAGGAGGCAGAATTAATTCTTGGGGTGTGTCCATGATACCAGGGTACAAGATTGACGTTCCATCTGCTGTCAACAAGCCTTGGCGTGAGGATACTTCCCGCCCCAGGATCATGATGTGACGGTCTTCCTAGCCACCTGATATCTGATGAACTCTATCTTCCGGGCCTCTCACCTTTGTGGCATAGCCTCTCGCATCCGGTGGGAGTCTTTTTCGCCTACTGCTAATTCTACACCAAGGGGCTCTCTTAGAGTAGTTTTAAGAAGCGAAAGATTCACCAAGTATTACTGCCCACGCAGAGATTCGTGAGCAGTCTGTACAAACCATCAGATATGGCCGGCCGGCCTCCTCCAGATTGACAATGTCTCCCCTTCCGTGGCAGCGCGGTCACTCGTACTTTCTTTTGACGAACTCACCTATTCCGTACCGACTATCGTTACTGCTGCCTGCAGTGCGCTTGTGAAACAACGACCACGCAAGACATGTCTACAACACCTGTAGTCAAGTATAAGCCGGTCTCTGACGACGGTTTCGAGGACGTGAAGACCGACGACGACCACGAAGAATACCCCTTGGATCAGAGAAAATGGAACTCCAGTAGAGCCACATCAAAGTCAAAGAGAGCACTCCAAATACTTGCTTCACTCCTCATCCTGGCAATTTATACGTGGGCAGTACTTTACTATGCCCGTGAAGTCATTTACAAGCCATTCTGCCCTCGACTCACGACACCAGACACGGTACATGTATGGGTATGTTGAACAACTTCGGAGCAATTCTTGAGTTATTGTTGTTTCTTTCACTGACTAGACCGTCTCTCTTTCCAGGACAAGGTTGAGTTCAACCCACAGCCCGTAAATCCAGTGACGCCAGGTCATGACCACCCACTTTTGGGCAACCCGAGCCCAGAGGTAGATGCAAATTGGTCTGCATTACTTTCAGGCAAGCCCTTTGTGTCGGTTGATGTGGAGCCTCGACACCAGTTCACTAATTAATCGCAGCGTTTGCCAACCGAATCCCGGAATCCGAGGTACACCGACTTGGCATGGAGGCAGATGCGATACCTTTCAACGATGGAGAAGGCGGCTAGTAAGTAGTCATACAAGAATAACGCTTTTGTTGGCAGTACAATCCGGCTGACTGTATTGAAGTCTTGGGGGCCTTGCTATGGTGCATAACTTACACTGCATCGTAAGCCTCGATGTCCATTCTCCCGGCGACGTTTCGAATGCTAAAGTCTTATCCGTTGTAGAACTATTTATACCAGGTTGCGCATAGAGAGTACTATTACACTCCCAATACCACGGAGAAGGAGGATGCAACTCAGAAGAGTCATATTGGTCAGTTGAAGTCCTAGAAGAATGCGTGCTTGAGTCCGGACTGGATCCCGGCGGCATTGATGTACAAATATGTGAGAGAACTTGTAGCTGATTCCGACTTTGCCTCAGGACACTGTCTCCATCATATCATGGAGTCCGTGAAATGCCAGGCAGATTTGACCCCCGTTCTACTTCATTGGACTCTCCACGATTTCCACTCGGTCATTAACTGGGACGGTGTCGAACGTACCTGTGCCGACTGGTCACAGTTGATGGACTGGGGTTCAGAGCATTCCGTGAGAAAGTCTACTTCGATATCTCAATTCACAGGTGAGCAAAACTGGAATTAGGATATTGAGGATGGCTGATAAAGATCTGTGTAGACACGAAGCATCCAATTTACGGTAAGTTTGCGGTGGTCGCGGCGTGGAAACTCCTACGTGTCTCCTCTGTTCACCACTCCTCGAGCAGTCCCAGCACCAAATTGACTATTGCTAATGATTGCCAATAGGCAACTTCTTAGACGAACACGGCAAGTTCAGCTGGGTAGATCAAGAGGGAGGTGTTGACTACAAGGAGTTTTTCAAAACGTCAGAGTACCAGAAGTGGGCAAAAGAACAGGGGCTCGCCTCAGGAGAGGCCGCGGCGGAAGAGTATCTAAGGTCGTTTTACGTCAAGCAGTGAGATATAGTATCCAGTCAGAACCGTCTCAAGCATCACGTGGGCCATTGGTTGATCTTGAGGCATCTATATTGCACATCAGCTATTGTTGGGAAACAAATGTTTCGTCAGTGATCCGTCTGTTGGGATAGAAGGAGAAAGTTCTCTCAAATGCAGCTTCCCCATGGAGTACACTTGGGATCTTCCAATTTCGTCTTTATGCAACGGTTCTTGAATGTTCTTCTCTGACATGATAACTAGAGGTTGGACACTTTATTGCGACGTTGATAACACCCGTGCCTCCGAATTCCTAGGGAGAACAGGCTGCAGGCATTCTACACCAAGCAAAAATAGATGAGAAATAAGCAGACGCGGTCTTCACGCTGAGATCATTCGTCTTAGTTGGCAATAACAATTGCTGCCGTGACTTCTCAGAAGCTGACAGACCGTGACCTAGATCATCGTCGTGGTTAGGAAAGAGGTGGTTGTTGCGGATTGAAGTGCACTCGCACCCAACGAGATGACAACTACCATTGGAAGGTTCGTCATATCAACGTAAAGAAGAAGTCTCCTCAAGGGTAGATCGTCTACCCTCCGGAAAGACACGGCACTACTCTGAACAGCTCACACGATGATGCTTTCCCGGACCTAACCAACATCTATCACTTCTTTCAGGTTCAGACGCAGTATCCTAAGCAATGTACTTCCGCCGAGAACTGCCTGATGCAGGACTTCCTGGCGATGAATGAGTGCAGGGCAATATCCGTGAGCTTTGCAACAGATACAGATGTAGAAGAGCAACAATACATAACCCGTTACAATTACACACCACCCGGCAAGCTACCGAACACCATGTTCGCAAGAGACTCGCTACACAGACCACCATAGAAGGCAAACCAGACCAAAACATCTCAGAAACAAACGACACACCACGGAAAGCCACTTTGTTTGAAAGAACAAAGATCTCAGCCCTAAAAAATGTCGCAGAACATATTTTCCCGTCCCCCAACCAAGTCACAAAAGCCGCGCGCCCTCAATTTATCCGTTTCCTCCCACAATCCGAAGAAAGGGACGCCATGTCAACAGGGAGAAAACGCTGACGAGTCTGACGAGTCAAACAAAGAAAAGTGTGCGCCCCGAGCTTTCTCAAAATCTCTTACACGCCTGTCGCCTGCAACCTCAATGACACGCGGCGCGGCGGCAGTATCGCCGCAAGGCGAAAAGCAAAGACCACAAGTTCAACGTCTCTCAAACCCAAACCCGGGCGCCTCATCCCCATACATTTCACCTATATGGGATGTCAAGCTTGAGAAGGGGAAACCAGAAACCAAGACTGGAGGAGGGTGGGGAATTTCTCATCAACGCCTCATCGGGCCTACTTGGAATCAAGCTTAGTCTTGGCACGTCACACGCCAAAACTTGAGGCATTGGAAGACACACGTCTTTCGTGTGTATACGCAACGGCGATGATCCACAATGGGGGAGCCTCTGACGCTGGACCGGATTCTGAATCACCGCGAGGGAAAAAAACTAGGGAGGTTCGGCCGAGTACAGACGAACACGTAACGCAAGTTGAGAGGGACCTCTCAAGGGAAACCTGTCTCGAAAATTGATGAACGAGGCACTCAGTGGCCTAAACAACCCAAAGAGCCGGGATCAACCAGAAACCAGACAGCCACCACCGCTGTGAACGCCATCGTCTGATTCTCGCAAGTCACTCATCAAACACAAGATTACAAAGCTCAAAAACGCCTGTCCGAGACAGGGGATTATGGTATCTCGTATGTACAGGCTCCTCTGAAGGCTCAGCCAGGCGTGTACACACCCGCGCAACTCTTGTCTGTCTTGAATCGCAATGTGTTTCCCCCCTCTCCAAACGCCTTGTTCAATGGAATTCCCAGGCTAGAAATTCCGACCATGATTAGATCATGAAGCACCCGTTTGTGCCCGGATTCTCATGCGATGCAAATGCAGTTTCATGAAAGCCCCCGCCTTGGATGAAGAAAAAAGACCAGAAACAAAACGAATAGACCGAAAATTGGTGGGAGACGGGAAGATGAATAGTCTTTGGGTCGTCAAGACAGACATGCTTTGCCCCTTTCTTCAACGCGCAGCGACTCCCCTCACTGCATCCCGTCAACACCCGCCCATAGTTCCAATCCTCTTTTGTAGATGCCCATGGGTGCGAGAAAACGAAGAAAACCGGTGATATGCCAATTGAAACGGCTCTTGTCCGTTATCCAACCGTCGAGTAACGTCGGCAAAAGTCTGCCCTTGAACATTCTCCGGAAATAGAGGCGCCCCTCCTCGTCATTATTAGTGAAGTTGAATTTTCTTGACCTCCTGCCCAACGCCGGTGTGTTTTGGTGTGATCCCGTCGATACGGCTCCTTGAGTGTGACTCCTCACATCACAATGCAATCCTTGTCCTTATCCTTCTCTTCGCCGCCCTTCTTGATCTTTCCACTACGGGGAGGGGCGACTTCCATTGGGGTGCCGCCGCTGACAGCTGCCTGGATAATTGCCAATCGCTGTTTCGCGCGCTCATCGCCTGCGTCTGCAGCCTTGACATACCAGACATTGGCCTCCAAGATATCACGCCGGCAGCCGATGCCCATCTCTGTGAAGTAGCCCACAGCGTACTGGGCCTTGACGAAACCTGCATAGGTGTGATTAGCCTTATTGCCTCATTCAATCGATATTTTGCAGAAGTCTCTCAACTTACCCATCTCGGCTGAACGGCGAGCCCACTCGTAAGCTTCTTCTTCGTCCTTTTCCAAGATCGGTTCCGCACCGACCATATACCATGCACAAAGGCCCATCATAGCACCGGCATGTCCTCGCTCAGCAGCACCAGTGTAGAAGTGCACGCTTAGTGCTGGATCGCGGGGGCAGCTGAGCTTCCCATGTTCATATGCCTCACCCATGCGGAAGTTGGCCTCTGGGTGGCCAAGTTCTGCGGCGGCGGTGAAAAGCTCTGCTGCGTAGACCTCGTCCTTGAAGATGTCGTCACCGTAACCCGTCTCGTACAAGCAGGCCAGCTGATACGGAGCTGCGCTGTAGACAGCATCGGCAGCCTCTGCTGCGAGCTTCATCCATTTGATACCCTCGCGGTACCGCTTCTCTCCCAAATCACCCGAGAGACAAGCCTTGCCGAGTCGGGACATTGCGCCTGGGTGACGCTTCGACGCAGACATGCGGAGGAACTGGACAGCCTTAGCAGGATCTTTGCGGCAACCCCAACCAAACTCGTAGCATAGCGCCGTGCGGTAAGCGGACTCAGCATGACCATGCTTTGCGGCGAGAACGAAGAGGGGGAACGCTTGGTTATAGTCCTCCTTTCCTTTGCTAAACAGACCAGAGGCGTATCCATCTGCGAGGTAGTATTGAGCAAAGGGGTATCCACCGCTGGCCAGCTTCTGGAGTATACCCTTTGCCTCTCGCAGGAGGTCGTAGGGAGTTGATGATGCGGAATTCTTTGGGCTAGAGTTTGCCTTGCGAGGTGCTGGCTCGCTAGGGTCCAGGCCTTGCTCTTGAGCGGTAGAGATGAGGAAAACGGCAAAAGAGTATTGGATAGAAAAGTCGTTTGTCTTCTTGACGTTTTGACGATACATCTCCAGTGTTTTTTGAGCTCCGAGGAGAGATGCATTGTTACCAACGGCATTGCGCAACTGGTTGTTATCAAAGCTGATCGGGGCAGGTGCTGGCTGAGGGTACGGCACGTTCAGTAGCTCCGCGTATGATGCTGGTCTCGTTTCCGGGGACCTGCGAGTGCCTGATGGTGTCCGCATATGTGATCCTCCAGGCATCAGATTTGGGGATCGCCCTCTGGGGGCATAATCCGAGATGGCAGAGTAGGCCGACGAAGGTCGGGGCATGGAGGTCCTTCTGGTGAAACCGGTAGGCGTCAGATGACGGTTGACGGGGGTTCCATCAGCGTTGAGGCTGGGGTTCGAAGAGGAACGACGAGCGTCAAGCTCCTGAGGAACACTAGAGACACGCTGAGGAGGAAACTCCTGATGGTGGTAGTACTGAAACATGGGGACAGAGTTGTTCTCTGGCATGTTGCCCTCCATTATCGAGCTCTCGGGAGACTCGTCTTTGTATTCGGATGACTCGTTGATGCCAGAGACGGAGCTCGCGCTTGTCGTCGCAGAGGACTGCGCCGATGCCTGCTGTTGGGCGTTGCTCGAAGTGGTGGTGTTCGATTCCCGACTATGGCGATTGGCATCTTGAGCTCTTGCGCTGTGAGCACTGAAGCTGTCTGATCCATGGGTCCCCCGCTTCGGCCTGTAGCCCTGATCATGGCCATTTTGGTGGGGGGTGAGAGAGCTGGCTGGACTCAAGTAATCGGGTTCGGCAGTGTAGGAGTTCGACGTTTTGAGAGGAGGCAGCTTATTTCTGTCATGGCTTTGCATTTGTCGTTCAGCCTGGTCGTAGCCCGAGGTATGCGAAGGAGGGGTAGGGGCGTTGTATTCTCGGGAACGATCAACTGTAGAAAACTCTGCTTGGTAGGGTTGTGCCAGCTCGATGTTGGCATTGGATGGCTGGGCCCAGTTCTCGGCTTGAAAGTTCACCCTGACAGGAGAAGCGGGAGCGTCCCGAATTCTTGCCGACACCGATTTGCGGCCGGCGTCGTCGCCCAAAGTAATACGCTCAGGGGAAATGTGTTTTCGAAGATGGTTCGGGCTTGCAGTCGGAGTCATGACGGGCGGTGTCGGAGCCGTCGTGGCTGCCATTGAATCGCCGAAAGCTGGACAGCAGGGTGTCTGAATGCTTTCTTGTCGCAGGAATGTCGATGTGAGGCAGATTTGGTCCAACTATATTATGGTTGTTGTGTAAGCCCTACACAGCGCTTCTTTTTTTGTTGATACCAAAGGCTTGTTCTAGGACATGGACAAGGAAGGAGACAAGATTTTGGCCTTGGTAGTCGTGCAAGGTGTTTCTTCGTTGTGAGGGAGGCAAGGGGAAAGGAAGCCGTCGTTGAATGTGGGCTGGTTGTGTTTCTTCCTCGGCGTGCCGGAT